TTTGAAAAAGTGGCCGGTGACTGCGGCTTTTAGAGAAGGCAGCTAAATCTGACGTCTAATGCGGGATTAAAGAGGAATGAAGAAGAGCTGTGGTGTGATCTGTGATGGACCCTCCAGCTCCAAAGTTAAACAATAACCCTTTCACCTGTAAAAATGGTCAAAGGTTGTGTATAAACAGGATTTTTATGTTCAAGAAGGCCCTTTCAGCTGCCAAAATCAGTTTAGTAACACGAGATTAGAAAGAAACAGTCAACAGAAATGTTAAAGGTGCTGTCAGTGGTTCATTAGGGACGGTTAAACATTCAGTGGAAAAATCTCCAGACCTCCTTCAGCTGAAACTGTGATTAAATGCTTCAGTCCAACTTCCAGTCAAAGTTTCACAGAGAATCTTTACATTTTTGTTGTTTTCTTCTTGAAGCTGCTGAGCCTGAAAGGCCAAGACTCGTGGGAGGATCCCGGCTTCATCACCACCGTGTTTGTTTTTCCTTCCACCGTCTGGATCAGAAACATTCAGACGGACATGAAGAGGCGGCTTTGTTCCAGCTGCCTTGTATCTATTTGCTCTCGTGATGTTTTCATTTCACGAGCCACGGCCCAAACGCTGCCGTGGGTTCGTGCTTCGGCTCGTCTCTGAGGACCAGACGTCTCTCTGCGTTTGGCTCCATGAAGCTGCAGGTTTTCAGCTCCGGCGAGCTAAACCGTAACTCCTACGTGAAGCAGCTCTCCGCGTTCTGAGCCCGAACGGTTCCGCTCTCTGAATCCGACCTCCCTACACCTGCAGAAATCATCTGTGACCTCACAGAGGGTTAAATCCATTAAAGCACTTTTTCACACAGACGCTGAATAAACATCAGCTAATAAAACCCGGACGATGATCGACAGAGGAAGAGAACGGAGCAGGTTTTTAATTAAACACAGTTCAGAGATTTGTTTTGACCCGACTCGGCAGAAACAAACGAGCAGAAGAATCATTTAAATTTATGATAAACAAACGGAGCGTTTATTTGCTTTCATACCTGCTGAATAAAAAATGAGTTTGTCTGTTTACTGGCCGTGGTTCTGGTTATTAAAACCTCACTTATGCGTCGTTATCTCTGGTTTTATCCGTCATCATGATTTATTCTTTTCCTGATGGCAGGTTTTTGTTGTGTTGTTGTTTACTTCCTGTGCTGATGTTGGTGTTCTCAAGGCTTCACCTGCTGCTGCTCTCGTCTCCACGTCTGTTTCTGATTCTTCTGCTCCCTTTAGAGCCCCTTGGCCTCGTGGTTTGAACTCTCACTCCTCCTCTCGGGTATCTTCCCTGCTCTTGTCGTGATTAGGCAATTTGTAAATAAACTTGAATTGAATTAAATTGAATTGCTAAACACCCGCCGATGTTTTCTAGGTTCAAACGTCTTTTTTTGTTCGCAGTGGTTTAGTGAGACAACAGCTGAATGGTCCAATGGTTGCTTTCGGTCCAGGGCCGCCTCCAGAAAATTTTGATAGGGGTGGCCATAGCCACCCCTTGGGGGCGCCCTTGTTTCGGTCATTGGTGATGAATTTTGTACAAATGCGAGAGAACGACTTTATTATTATTATCTTTAATCAATACATCTAGAGCTATACTGTTAGAATGCTTTTAACCCATTCGTTGCCAGCGTTTCTCGCCATTTTTACTGTTTTTTTAAGAGTGACGGAAGGTTGCGCGCTAGGATGATGTCGACGCCAAAATAACCAATACAAAGAGGAGACTCACCTCTTACATCAGGAAGAATCTGCGTGTTTCGAGCGTTATCCGTTCTTTCATAATCCGTTGTTGAATTGTGATCGGCAGAAGCTTTTCCGGTTCGCGCCTCACTTTTTTTACAGCAGCGGCCCAAAACGATCTCCTAAAACCATCCTCCATGGATGGTAAAAATTGTAAATGGCCTGTATTTGATATAGCACCTTCTAGAGTCCTGATACCCCCCAAGGCGCTTTACAACACAATCAGTCATTCACCCATTCACACACACATTCACACACTGGTGGGGATGAGCTACGATGTAGCCACAGCTGCCCTGGGGCGCACTGACAGAGGCGAGGCTGCCGAGCACTGGCGCCACCGGTCCCTCCGACCACCACCAGCAGGCAACGTGGGTTAAGTGTCTTGCCCAAGGACACAACAACAGTGACAGACTGAGCGGGGCTCGAACCTGCAACCTTCCGATTACGGGGCGAGCACTTAACTCCTGTGCCACCGCCACTGCTTCCTGATCACGTGACGTATGTGGCTGAAGATCGGCTTCAGAGCTGAGATGTTTGTTCTCACGGTGCGGGGGCTCGTCCGACGCCCACACAGTAAAAAAATGCAAATGACGACTTTAATTCAATTAATTCAAAAACACTTAATTAATCCCAGAGGGAAATTTAGGTGTCATTGGCAGTGAATGAGTTAAGAGGCACGAAAAAATGTCTTAAGCTAAATTGTTTTCCAACTTTTCTATAACAGCTTTAATCATATTAATTATTCCCTAATCAAAACCACAAGAGTCGGTTTAAAAACACGAACCTGATGGAAGCCAAACTTTTACGTAGGTCAGTTAATCCGCAGCTTTTTTTTTTACTGCAGACGAAGCTCGGCTCACTCCTCCGTCTTTTTAAGTCGTTTAATGGCTTCAGTTTTTTCTGAGGCAAAAACATCAAACCGACATGATGATAAAATAACTGAAACCTTCAGGTGGAAACGCCTGAAAGTAAAAGTTTGAGCAGTTGGAAATGATTTTTCTGTTAAAAACAACACACACACACACACACACACACACACACACACACACACACACACACACACACACACACACACACACACACACACACACACACACACACACACACACACGGCCGGCTCGATGCCATCATGCTGTTTCAGCCCGCTGACTGTTTCCATCCACGCTGAAACACAGGAGCCTCCAGACTGAGGAGAGGAACATCGGTTATTTACTGCCGCTGTCGGACGGAGACGAGCCGCTTGGAGAGAAGCGCCTCCTCCTACAACACACTGCCTCATTCATCTTCCTAACATCTGACAGCTTCTGGTTTGTATTTACATTTAATACGCGTGAATAAAGATGAAAAAACATGGAGGATGTTTATACTTCTGCTTTAAAATGTCAACAAAACAGCATCTATGTATTTTTGTAAATATTAAAAAGATTCATCATTTCGCTGTGAGGTGTAAAGTTTGATGGTATTTTTATACAAAACATTCATCAACTGCATCTGCGTGTGGAAAAGCTTCACGCCTACATTTTACTGTTGGCTTGTTTGATCTTAAACCAAAAATACCAAAACGTGCGTAAATGTCTAATGCACTGACGAGACCACAGTCTGGCATGGTGGTGGTGGTGTGATGGTCTGGGGCAGCTCTGCTCCTGCAGGACCTGGACCACCTGCGGTAGTCGATGAAACCATGAATTCTGCTCTCTAGAAGAACATCCCAGAGGAGAACATCTGACCTTTTACCTTAAGCAGGCCGTTCCTGTTGGAGAACCCTCTGATGGGGCTGAGTTCAGACGATTCTGTGAACTCCTCCACGGTGATGTCACTCATCAGCTGTTCTCACTGGGCCCAGCTGTTACAGCCTAGAACAGAACTGAAGCTGTACTAGAGCTCAACAGCTGCTTTTAATAAGAAAAATAAACTTTATCTAATAATTAGGATATTGTTTCGTATTCTAGCTTAGTGAGAACAGCAGGTCGTGTCTTTGTGGGATAATCTTCCTGTCGTGATGAAACGAACCTTTTCTGCCTTTAAAGGGGTTGCCCATAAAATGATGCTTATTTCCTTGTTTGATGGTATTAGATGTGTTTGCGTAAAATGAATGGTTCCATTAAGGTTTAAATGTGCAGAATCTAAACAAACAAAACGTGTTCCTCGTAGAACGTTCTGGTGACGATAAAACCTCTTTTTGTTTTACCTGCTGCAGGTGGATTCTGAGTCCATGCAGCTTCATGCTGGCTTTCACCAAACAGCCGGAAACAGAAATATAGTTTATTAAAAACCTGGTTGTTTATTCAAAAGAAAGACAAACAGGAATGTTGGACAAAAGCCACACAGCTGCGAGGGAAGAGTCAGCGCGCCCTCTGGTGGTCAGAGCAGAAACATGCAGCTGGAGTCTACACGCTTTCATGGTTTATTTATGATTCTTTGATGTTTTATTATAACATTTACTGCACAACTTGACTGTAACAACAGTGCAATGAGTGGACAAATAAATAAAAAAAAAACAAATGCAAAAGGACATAAAAACGTTTCTAGACATAAGTGATAAAAATATGTCTGTCAACAGAAAAACTGTCGTTTTTCGTTGGAAGGTGAATTTTCAATTATTATTATTATTATTGTTATTATTATTATTATTATTATTATTATTATTATTATTATTATTATTATTATATAATGGAGTTCAGTAAGGGTGGACCAATATATCAGGCCGATTTTTGTTTATTTAATGGCATCAGCCAATATTTGTCTTTGATAAATTAAATTTAAATTGAGAGTTCTGATGTTATTAGTAACATTTTAGCAGGAAAATGAGGTGGAACACGACCCTAAAAATCAACCATCTCCTGTACCTGTATCGGTATCTGCAATAGAAAAAACAGTATCGGTCGACCGCTAGTGTCTAACACTGAATTAGTGGCAAAAATAATACCAATGGAAGGAGAAAAAATAGATTTGTTGATAATATTGCACCACTATATTTTTTTAGCACTAACCCTAATCCTAATCCGTACCCACAGTCCTGCTGCCTTTATCTGAACTTCCTGACTCAGATTTTTATTTATTTATCTGATAAATAAATAAATAAAAATCTGTTATTGATCTGATAAATAACAGATTTTTATTTTCTAAACCTAAAAAGAGTTTCATCGGTTTGTCTGGAAGACTGTTACAGATTTTCCAGAACTTTCTACCGTTTTCGCGGCTCTCCTGCTGTTTCACATCTGGTCACCGACACGTCTGCCTGCGTGTGATTGCGTGACTACGTCACTAATCCCCGCCCCTCTGTTTTGGTTCCTCTAGCAGCTTCTACTTTTAATATGTTGTGAAGCCAGAAGCGCCCATCTGAAGGATTCATTCACCTGGACGTGCTTTTACCTGGGAGGCGGAAACGCAAAGGGCACAAAGCGGAAGTTATGTTTGCAGCTGCCCGGCGTGACGCTCACCGGGAATAAACCTAACGGTAACCGAACATGGATCCTCCCGAGGGCCAGTCCGGTGAGGGAGCCCACGTGGAGCAGGATGCTACACCGACCCCAGTGGAGGTGGACGCCGCGGTGCTGCTGCTGGGAGCCGGGGTCACAGCCGCCACACACCCGCTGCTCTACGTCAAACTGCTAATCCAGGTTAGCCAAACTAGCGCATTAAAGATGGAGAGCATGCTGGTCTACTTCCGGTGTTCATTAAACGTCCATCAGAGATTTACTCAGCTGCATCACAGAGAATTATTAATGATTCATATTTTAGCTCTTTCTGAACGGCCTCCGTGCAGAGAAATAGCGTTCACATTCTACAGGACTGATGAGCTAACGGCTAGTTTTTGAATTATATTTCTACATTTTTCCTTTAACCTCAGATTAGTACTGATCTAAGCGTTAAAGCAGCAAACCCCGACGGTGGCACAGCAGGTAAGTGCTCGCCCATAATCGGAAGGTTGCCGGTTCGAGACCCGCTCAGTCTGCCGCTGTTGTGACACTTAACCCACCTAGCCTGCAGGTTCGGAGGGAACGTTGGGGCCAGGGCAGCTGTGGCTACAATGTAGCTCATCACCACCATGGTGTGAGTGGCTGTGTTGTAAAGCGCCTTGGGGGGTTCCAGGACTAGAAGGCGCTGTATCAAATACAGACCATTTACTTTTCAGGAATGATGTCATTTATTTGGGAAACCCTCAACAGTGAGTCTGACTCTGTGCTGTGATGGCGATGCATTAGCGCTGGGCGATACGACCTAAAACCAATATCACGATATATTGAGGATTTCACCTCGATAACGATAAGTGGACGAGAACTACAGGTAACAAAGCCGCTTTTGCGTGTATTATGTTGAGTCACATTTTTACGAGATTCAAGGTGGTTCAGCTTCTTAAGGGACATGAACGTTGCCAACCTGCACACATCTTTTCATTTTTTATGATCACATTTATTTACATGAGAAAATCGATCTCGATAAGAGTCAGAAATGTCGATAACGATACATTTTCGATTTATCACCCAGCCCTACGATGCACCTGCTTTTGTTTGTGGTGTTCCCGTAATTCTAACAAGCGTGTAAAACGTCTCCGAGTTCGGCGCCAGAGCGGCGCTTTTGTGAGAACAACCAACCAGGCAGCTCACCTTAGTAACGTAATCCAGGGATTACTTTTCCCAGGATCCACCTTTTTCATTTTCTTAATCCCTTTCCTCACATTTTATTATCACAATTTTTGCTTTCCCCATTTATATATTTTTTATTCATTTTTAATCCAATTTTTTAATTAAAAATTTTTGTGATTTTTTTTCTAAAACATCGTTTCTTCTTCTTTAGTTAATAAATGCGTTGATTCTACCTTCAGATGTTCTCCATACCATACCAACTTTATTTATAAAGCACATTTAAAAACGGCATGGCAGCCGACCAAAACGCTATACAGAATAAAAAGAAAAAACACAACATAAAAACAAAACACGGTCAACAATAAAATACACAACAAAGCAGATAATCACGGTCAATAAAAAGACACACAGTAAAATAATAAAAGTCAGGTATTTAAAAATGCCTGGTCGTAAAAGTGAGCCTTAAGTAGCGACTTGAACCGGAGGAGGGATGGTGCCAGCCTCACTGAAAGAGGAGGAGCATTCCAGATTGTCGGAGCAGCGTAGACAAAAACACGCTGCCCCCGCGTTTTGTATTTCATTGTTGGAACGCGAAGCAGCAGGCAATCAGCAGATCTCAACGCCCGGTTTGGCACATAACGAGTCACAAGATCAGACAGGTAATCCGGAGCCAGACCGTTCAGGGCCTTAAATGATAAAATCAGGATTTTAAATAGGGATGCACCGATACGATACTGGTATCTGTATCGGCACCAATACCAGTATTGGTATCAGTGCAGATACCGATATGATACTGGTATCGGTAAAAGTTAACAGATACCAGGAACCGATACCAATGCAGTTGCTTGAAAATGGCTTCACTGTAACTTGTCATTTCTGTTCACCTAATTTTTGTGTGTTAGAAGTATCGGTAATCAGTATCGGCGAGTACTCAGATCCAAGTATCGGTATCATATCGGTTTGGAAAAAAGTGTTATCGTTCCATCTCTAATTTTAAACTTGACTCTGAAGTGTACGGGTAGCCAGTGGAGCTGCGCCAGTACAGGTGTGATATGATCTCTTCTACGGGTGTTTGTTAAACCTGGCTGCCGCGTTCTGTACGACCTGAAGCCTGTTAAGAGCGGGGCAGGTAAACCAGTTAAAATGGAATTCGCGTAATCTAGACGGGAAATGATAAAAGCATGAATTACGGATTCCAGGTGCGCTCATTTCAGGATCGGTTTTAAGCGACGTAATCTGCGCAGCTGGTAAAAACACGATCTGACCACTGCGTTAATCTGAGGGCCCATGGAAAAGTGTGTATCCAGTTTCACCCCCAGGTTGGTAACACACTGCTTGAGGTCATATGGGCGAAGGTCCAAATCAGAAGATAAGTGTGTGGTTTTGTTAGGGGTCATGAGGAGTGCCTCAGACTTAGACCAGGCTAAAGGTCAAAGGTGACAGATCATCTGCTGCTGTGGCCCCCAGACTCTGGACCTCTCTCCCCCTGAGCCTGAGATCAGTGGACTCAGTGGTCTCCTTTAAAAAGCAGCTGAAGACTCACTTGTTCAAGCTGGCTTTTGTATGACCTTCTTCACCTCTCTCTCTTTATTCTGCTCTCCCCACCTATTCCACCTTCCTCAGGATCCACTGATTTCCCTCTTTCCTGTTCACTCTCTCTCTTTCTTAACATTTTTAATCACAATTGTCTATTTTTTGCTCATTTTAAATATATTTTAAACATTTTCGAAATGCTTTTTTATATTTTTACAATTTTTATATTTTTTGTTTTTGTTTTTGTGAAGCGCCTCGTGATTTTTATCTTGAGAGGCGCTATAGAAATGATATTTTCTTCTTCTTCTTTTTCTAGAATAATAATTGTTGGCAAGCCAAACCCTCACTGCAGCCAAACATTGGTCCAGAAGAGAGGGGGAGCCTGGTTTGTTCAAAGCCAGGTAGATCTGGCAATCATCTGCATAGATATGATAGCCCAGGCCATATTTCCTCAGATGAAACCCAGGGGGAGGATGTAAATTGAAAACAGGAGAGGCCCAAACACCGATCCCTGCGGGACTCCCCATGGAAGTGGAAGGAATGTAAAGGAACAATTACCCAACTGAACCTCGAACACTCCTTTGATCATTTGAGTAGAACGAGACGAGAGGATTTTTAATTGTCGCTTCTCTAGATAAAAATCTGAATAAAACATTTTTTTAAAATGGGAGAAAATAGTTTTTCATGTTTAATGGAATGATGTCATTTCTGCTGCTAATATTACTGTATTGTGATGAATGTGCTGAGCCTGGATCCCGATACGCTAAAATGGGTTTTTAATCTGGATCCAAAGTTCCACCGGAGCAGGATTAGAATCGTGTTGAATATAAATTCACGTGCTTATGGAGGAACGAGGATCCAAACATATGTAGTTATTAGTGAAACCCGCTAAATTCAGTAAATCTAAGGAACGTTTTATCGCCGGTTTTTAGAATGTAAAGAGTTAAACTGGAAAATGAAGGTAATTCCCTGATGTCTCCAGGTGGGACACGAACCTCTTCCTCCGACCGTGGGAACCACGATGTTTGGACGGCGAGTCCTTTACCTGCCGGGTTTCTTCACCTACGGTGAGTAAATCGGTTTCAAACACGCCTGATCCTGTTGTCCACTCCCGCTGGTCCTAAAGTGGAGGTCTGGGCCCTCTCTGGTTCCTCCAGCACCAAATGTCAGGTCTTAGGAGGTCTGAGGTGGTTTGTGTTTCCATGATGAAAACGTCAGCTGACAGGAAGTGGATCTGTTTGTTTTTAGTGCATCACATCGTGAGAGTGGACGGGAGGACGGGACTCTTCCGCGGCCTCTCACCTCGGATTGTCTCTAGCATCATCTCCACCGTGGTCCGGGGAAAAGTCAAGCAGGTAAGGAAAGATTCCGACCCGATGAGATGATCTGGAACGTAACTCCAGGCTCGGCGTTCCCAGGACCCATGCCATGTGTGAGGTGGTGTTCCTGAGTGATGGTGGGATGGAGGAGAGATGGGGCAGGCGTTGGTCTGGTCTGTGGTGGAGGAGAAGGAGCTGAACCAAAAAGCAAAGTTCTGGATTTAGTGGTTCATCCAGACCTTCATCTGGTCATGAGACCTGGATCAGGACGGGAAAAAGCAGATCCTGGATACAAGCAGCTGAAGGGATCTCCCGCTGTAGGGTGGACAGGCTCAGCCTTGGAGATCAGAGAGGAGCTCCATCATCCAGGAGGAGATCAGAGTAGAGCTGCTGCTGCTCCTCCTCAGCAAAGGAGTCAGACATTGGAGCAGGACACCTCCTTCTGGAGCGGAGACCTGGATGGAGGAATCATAAATCTTCTCTGGTCCGGGAACATCTTAGGATCTTTCAGGAGGAGCTGGAGAAATGGATGAATGTTGTTTGTTCCTAACTGGAATGCTTTTAAACATCATGGAAAAGAAATGTTCCAAGACTTTCACACTGGGATGTTTCCCGTTAGCTCTGAGCGGGACACCAGCGTTCCCGATCCCGATCAACCCATCTTCAGACTTCCTGATGGTCTTATCCCATTTAATCCAGATGTTTGATGCATTCCGTTATGGAAACATGATGACTGTTGGAAAGGGGCCCTGAGATTAAAAACAAACATATTTTAATAAAAATGTCGATTTTAAATCTGAGATTTTTATCTCCAGGTGGAGCTTCAGTCCAAGAAAGCCGATCAGCAGAATTCCCTCAGGAGAGTCTTCAGAGAGGTGAGAGGTCAGCGGCGGCACGGGAAAAACGTTCTTATTGAGCATCTCGTTGGATTAATGAGGCTGTTTTACTAATCTGGATTAAAGATCGGTCTGGGATTGTCTCTAATCTGTTTTATCAGACCTCACATGAGATGATCATCCAGTGCCTGTCCAGACTCGTCACCCATCCGTTCCACGGTACGTCCTCACGTTCCAGGGAAGACATAACCAGTAGAAACGTCAGCTGATCCATTTTGAGGAATTTTTCAAATCGAGTCTTTTTCCCGCTGTGAAGCCGAATCCAGGCGCGGTTAATCTCTGAGTGACGCGTCTGGTTTGTTTCAGTCATGTCGGTGCGCTGCATGGCCCAGTTCGTCGGCAGGGAGACCAAATATGGGTAAGAGTTTACTACTGAAGGGTTGGGATTAGTTACTTTCTGTCTGACCCGGTGGCCTCCTGATCAGCCTCTGTTCAGAGAAATAGGGTTCATGTTCTTCACGACTGATGAGCTAACAGCTAGGTTGAGCTAAGACCAAAGTGTGTTTCTGTCATCCAAAAACAACTCCAGCCTCCTGGATTTCACTAAAGTTCAAAATTATGTTATCTGGAAATCTTTTTATTGTTGTACATGGCACGGAATTCTGCAGCTACCCCCATGGAATTCTGTAGCTACCTCCGTGGAATTCTGTAGCTACCTCCGTGGAATTCTGTAGCTACCTCCGTGGAATTCTGTAGCTACCTCCGTGGAATTCTGTAGCTACCTCCATGGAATTCTGTAGCTACCTCCGTGGAATTCTGTAGCTACCTCCATGGAATTTTGTAGCTACCTCCATGGAATTCTGTAGCTACTTCCATGGAATCATGTAGTTACCTCCGTGGAATTCTGTAGCTACCTCCGTGGAATTCTGTAGCTACTTCCATGGAATTCTTTAGCTACCTCCATGGAATTCTGTAGCTACCTCCGTGGAATTCTGTAGCTACCTCCGTGGAATTCTTTAGCTACCTCCATGGAATTTTGTAGCTACCTCCGTGGAATTCTGTAGCTACTTCCATGGAATCATGTAGTTACCTCCATGGAATTCTGTAGCTACCTCCGTGGAATTCTGTAGCTACCTCCATGGAATTCTGTAGCTACCTCCGTGGAATTCTGTAGCTACCTCCATGGAATCATGTAGTTACCTCCATGGAATTCTGTAGCTACCTCCGTGGAATTCTGTAGCTACCTCCGTGGAATTCTGTAGCTACCTCCATGGAATTCTGTAGCTACCTCCGTGGAATTCTGTAGCTACCTCTATAGAATCATGTAGTTACCTCCATGGAATTCTGCAGCTACTTCCATGGAATTCTGCAGCTACTTCCATGGAATTCTGTTATTTACAGTCTAACCTGACCAGCAGCAGCTTAGCTTCTCCCTTGACCCTGTGACCTTGTCGCTGTGAGGATACAGCGCCCCCTAGCCCTAACCCAGAGCATCACTCAAGTTTTTAACAATCAGATAATTAATTACAGCTAAAAATTAAATTCTAACAAAAAGCATGAAGATGGAAATTAAACTGGAACAAGCCATTTTTTTCTTGTTTGCATTCCGACCCGTTGGGTTATGTTGCCATGACGACAGTGACCCTCCCATCATTCAGTTAGTTCTAGTTTAGTCAGATTTATTTATTGTAGATGTTTTTTTTCCCTTTCCAGCGGCGTGTTCAGCTGCTTCTTCAAGATCTTTAAGGAGGAAGGAGTGACTGGATTTTATGTGTAAGTCGGACTCCATCAGAACCACATCGTGTCTCCGGCCCGCTCTGGTCTGACCTGCACGTTTGCTTTTAGCGGATTCATTCCTCACGTTCTGGGAGAAGTCCTCTTCCTGTGGTGCTGCAACGTCCTGGCTCACTTCATCAACACCTACGCTGTCGACGAAGGCGTAAGTCGGACCTGCTTTTACTAGAAAATCACATCAAAGCTCCTAAAGTTCTAAACAGCGTGTGAAAACCCGTTTACGGAGGGTCTGACCTAAAAGTGTTCTGGTTCCAGTTCAGCCAGGCGTCGGCAGTGAGAAGCTACACCAAGTTCGTGATGGGCGTAAGTTCCCGTCAGACTAGCACGTGAACGCTTCGTCTGCCGTCGCTAACGCCGAGTGTTTCTGTTCTGCAGATCGCCGTGAGCGTTCTCACGTATCCGTTCACGCTGGTTGCTGACGTCATGGCCGTCAACGACTGTGGGTGAGTTAACGAGGCCCGGTTTGGTGTATTTATTTATAACTATTAAGAAATGGAAAACGCAAATTCAGATTAATTTATTTGTGTTAAATATAAATGTTGGAAAGTGACATTATTTCATTATTAAACCACAAATGGTTTAATTCATTATTTTCGGTTGAAACAAAAATTGACCAAAAAGAATAAAAATGACCAGATTAAACTTCTAAGGTTTCTCCTCAATAAACAGGATTATAATCAGACTTTTTAAAATAGAATTTCTTCCCTTTAATCCATAAAAATCTGGAGTTCCGACCATCGACATATAAAAATTGGACAATGGGTTTCCATAGGGCTCCAATAACGTTTTTGAAGATAATGGGAGGTGGCCACCACCGCCATCTTGACCGTGTCACAGGTTCCGTCAAGCCCAGACAATTCCATAAAAGGGAAGAGAGGTGGAGCTGAGGGTGGGGCTGTAAGGCTGGGATCAACTGACGACACCCGGTCGAACTAGCTACAAGCTAACCTGAAGCTAACCCAAAGCTAACGCAGAGGTGGAAGCTAAGCTAACGGAGGTAGCAACCTAGCTACAACCGGAGTTAACTGTGCTCAACACCAGAGCTTCTGAGTCAGAGATACGCCGGGCTGACCGCTGGGTAGAACCGGGTGGAACACATCGGTCTCCGAGAGCTCCACAAGCCGATAGTGGGAACCCAGCTCCACCAACATGTTATATTCAACCCATTTTCTAAAGTGCAGCATTACGTTAAATGCACTGGGTTTACCCTATTACATTTAAATGTCATGGTTAAACAGTACATGTTAAAATCTAAGCTCAGCTCGGCAGTGACCTAAAATACATAAATATAACTTTACTTACCGAAAAAAATGAAGTAGAGACTCCTTGGACGCTCTATTAGTGCAATTAATGCCACAGCAAGTCATTTTGTCCAACAATTGCACAAATAATATCCAAACAAGAATACACACACACAGAGACTCAAAATCCTGGAACAGTTTCCAGGCCAGACCGAGGCTCTACTGAGGCCTTTCCACGGAGCTAGCTCTGTGGTCACGTGGGTCTGATGCTCATTAATTATACAGAATTTTAGGCTTTTAATACACTTAAACAGAAGAGTGAGAAAAACATTCACCCCCCTCAGAGTTGTCATGAGTGTAAACTAGATCATTTAAACCTAAAACATGTTCTGGTACCAGGCTGTAAACATGTTTATTTCTGCTGTGAAATTGGTATTTTTAACATGGGAGTCAATGAGGATTTGCTCGCTTCTGACACCAGCCCCTAGTGGATGAGGGTGGAACTGCAATTTATGGGACTTAGGCGTTGGACTCAATTTTTCACCCGCATCGTGGGGGCTTGGTTCCGACTTTTTTTTTTCTCCAAAACTTTTTTGAACAAGGTGATAAGTATACAAACAAATTGCATACAAAATTGAACAAAGAAGATGAAACATATGCCAGGGGGTGCACTACAGAAATGTTACACACATCCAAATAAATTATAGGTGGTGCAAATAGTTATAGTTTTTAAAGCTTTTTTGTTTAGTAATCAATTTTATGTAAGATGGAGTGTCACTATAATAGTGCTTGAAATGAGGTTTTTGGTTACTATACTTGCATTTGTGGAGATAGAATTTGCTAGAATAATTAACAAAGTCTACACCTTCCTTTCTGTGCTTGCGACAAAAACAAAATACAACATTTTCCCATTTTAAAATGAAGTCCTTGCAGAGCTGTCCGATAATAAATCTGCTAAAGTCTTTCCAAACCGTTGTAGCATGTGAACAGATCCAGAAGTGGTGCTGAACCGTCGCAGGGTGGCTTCCACAAAAACAGCCGTTCACATCAATGTCCCTCTTAAACTTTGTCATATAGTGATTAGCTGGGTAACACTTATGAAGTATTCTGAATGAAACTTCTTTGACCTTATTTGTCACAAAATACTTATTAGGAATGGACCGTACTCTTTCCCAACTGATGTCAGTGACAAAGGAATTCCAATAAAAAAATCACATATGGAACAGATAAGGATTCTCTCTGAAATAAAGCACGAATATTCCTATTACTGTTTTAATGCTCGATAAGACAAACTTTTCCTACGTATGTGTTCACAGGGTCGGGAGGAGAAATAGGTGGTACAACAGGTAGAACACCTTTAAAAAGCATTCTGACACCCATAGGTGTTGCAGCAAACAGTACGGCATATTCTTTGGGAGTTGCTGGAAATTTATATGTGTTTAGGAGTTCTGTGTAAGACATAAGCTGTCCATTAGTGTTATACGACTGATTCACAAAAATGATCTGTTTCTCAACCCAATTAGAGAAAAACAATGGCTTATTTTTATGTTCCTGTTATTCCAGATCAAGTACGTATGGGGAGTAAAATTACGTTTATAGATCAGTGACCAGGCTAACAGAACTTGTTTGTGAAACATTGAAAGTTTTTCTGGAAGCTTTCCTACATTGTAGTCACAACCCAGGATAAAAGTTAGACCACCAAGTTTAGAGACGATATAGTCAGGAATAAAATTCCAAATGGAGACGGGATTTTTAAGAAAATGTTTTGCCCAGTTAATTTTAAACGTGTTGTTTAAGGTAGTGAAGTCCAAGATATTGAGTCCTCCATGTTGATAGTCGTTCATTATTACACTCTTTCTAATATAATGTGTTTTGTTTTTCCACAAGAAGTTGAAGAGCATTCGGTCAGTTTCCCCACAAGTTCTGTTGTCCACATGCAGAGATACGGCAGCATAAGTCAGGCGAGACAAACCTTCTGCTTTGGAGAGCAACACTCGTCCTCTTAAACTTAAATCTCTCTGTAACCACTGATTTAACTTAGATTGGGTTTTTTTAATTATTGGAGAGAAATTAGAGGTAATTCTGGGTTTTTGATCTTTACAGATAATCAAGCCTAAATATGTTACTTCGTGTTGAACAGCTATATTACAAATACTATGATCATTACAATTGTTGATAGGTAATAACTGACATTTGTTTAAATTTAAAATGAATCCAGAAGCTTTTGAGAAGTCATCTAAAATTTTCAGGGCAATTGACACCTGATCAACATTTTTAAGAAAAATGGTGGTATCATCTGCCAGTTGGCTGATGACAGCCTCTCTGTCTGCTATGTTTATACCTTTCATAGGACTATTAGCAATATAAGAGGTGAGAATTTGGGTACAAAGTAGAAAAAGATAAGGGCTGATGAGGCACCCTTGGCGTACACCTCGTTTCAGGCAAAAACGAGATGTGGTGCCATTTTTCATTCTGATAGAGCTATTTGCGCCAGAGTATAAAGTTTTGATGGCGTTGCAGAAGAAATCACCTAAGCCAAATTTCCTGAGTGAGAGAAATATAAATTCATGCTCAATAGAGTCAAAAGCTTTGTAGAAGTCAAGGAAAAGGATAAATGAATCATCAAGGATTAGGTCAGAGTAGTCCAGGATATCTAAGACGAGTCTAATATTATTGGAGATGTGCCTTTTTGTCATAAATCCCGATTGTGTCTCATCTATAACATCATCCGAAACATCTTTAATTCTCCTGGCCAGCAATAGAGCTAGAATTTTATAATCATTATTTAGGAGGCTTGGTTCCGACTTTTAAATGAAAGGTTGACCATGGGACACGGGGACTCTGGCGCGCTCTGGTGTTCAGAGGTGGTACTGCAACAACAGGACTAACTGTCCAGCCGCTGGGATGTTGGTTCGCTGCTGACACGCTCCAGCACCACGTTCAGAGACAACCCGTACAGGATAAGGACTCGTTTCTACTAATAAGTTTATTTTATAGCAGTTTTTAACCGTCGGAACATCTTCTGGGCTCAGAATCAGCTGCTTGACTTGTCAAGTCTGCTATTTTTCACAGTCCCAGCCTCTTTAGAGCAACGGTGCCCTCTAGTGGCTGGTAGATGTAAACATAAACAGTGTCGTGTCCGACAGAATAAAAACGTGATTATTTATCTTTTTAGTTACAGCTTTAAAAGGATAAACTACATTAATTCTGCACACCTCAACGCCCCGCGGAGGTATAAATTTTTCAAAATAAAGCTTTCGATTTAAACGTTTCATATTCTAACTTTAAATCCAAGTTCTTTCACATATAAATTCGACAATCATCTCTTAATTCTGGGATTTAATCTGACTTCTACCCCACCAGATCAGTTTGTTTGAGAACTTTATTTTGGAATGAGCTTTTTCCTCTGCCAGGACTTCTAATTGGATTCTGGGCTCTGATTGGTTGTGTTGTTTTCAGTCTGGCTGCAGGTCTTCCTCCTCGATCTCCCATCTTTAAATCCTGGCTCCACTGCTGGAATCATCTAAGTCAGAAGGTGCTCAGATGTCCTAATCTGTACAGATAATCTCTAAGCGACGTTAGTTTCAGGCTTCTCTCTCTCCCAAACTTCCTGCAGGGCCAGCTCTTCCGAGGATCCAGCTTCTTTTTCCGCCGCATGCCCCTGACCTCAGCATCCTCCATCGAGGACTGACATCATCAGCCGCTGTGAGTTCTTCCTCCTCCAGCTCCTCGGATGACGTCACGTCTTCGTTCTTTTGTGGCCATCCAGATGCAGCAGGAGCAGCGGCGCCATTCCTGGAGCGCTGAGAGAGACAATTCGGTTGGGAATGAGCTGAATCCTTTAAGCTGTGGGACAGGTTTTGGATTCTTCGTCATCACCGCAGCAGATGAGGCTCGGTGCCACGAACAAACCAGACGATTTTTACGTTTGTGTTTTCTTTTTGTATTAAAAATCCATGAAAATATTCCGATATTTTCCGCAGCAGGAATGATTAAACCACAAATAAAAACACAAAGACCTCTGAAATATTTACACAATCCAATGAGATTATTTATTCTACCATAGAGATTTACAGCAGTGAGACCAGAGTGGATTATTTGTCCTCAGAGGACGGCAGGATGATTTTGTTTGTGTCGTAGTAGTTTTCCCCGATGAGCGGAACGCCTTCCTTTTCTCGGAGCAGGATCAGCTGCTCGGCTTCCCTCCTGGCCCAGGAACGCATTCTGGAAACCACAGAAGAGGAAAGACAATAAAAATCTGCCTGCATCACAGAAAAGGCTGGAAGGATTTAAAATGAGGTGAAAGCCGCCGGGACAGAGTCCATGTTTGGAAGTTTTTCTACCGTCTGACATGCCGGCTCTGCTCAGACGCAGGAGGAACCTAAACAACAACACACTGATGTTTGGGACGGAAGCGTTTCCTGTCGTTGGAATCCCACCAGCTGAATCCGTCCGTCAGCTCGGCTCACAAATCCCAACTCTGCCTATGAAGTTAGTGAAACGATTCTGCGGAGAAGAAACTAAACTCCTCCTGAAGGACTCATCGGGCGTTCTCATCTAGGACATCTCAGCTGATGACAAACTCACGGGAACGTTTAGTTAAAGCCGGACTGAAGTCAAAACGAACGGAAAACCCATCAGACGTCTCCAGCAGCCAGCTTTTAAATGTTCCCGTTCACGTTTCAGCAGGAACGTTCTCATGGAGGAGGAGGACTCACCCGGCTTCTGGTAAATAGTGAAGGTACGTTCCTCCGATAACGAGAGCCACCGAGACACCGAAGAAGAAGCCGACCTTCATGTTCCACTCATCCTCCACCGGGTCGTCGGAGAAGCCATGATATTCAGGATTCTGACAAAAACACAAAGAAATTCCAGGTTTTAGAGGTCTGCTCACAAATGCAACATCCCAGTAGAGATGCACCGGTTCTGGCCCAAAGGGCAGACACGTCCCCACTCGCGTTAGTTATCCCTAGTTAACAGGAACGATGAATGCCAGCACACAGAAAGTAATCCTGAGGGATCAGACAGCGGTTCCTAACAACGTGTGTCCGACTCAAACAGAACTGTTCTGGTCCGAAAACGCTTCTGTAAAGCACGTCTCTGGACCCGGATCCAGCCCGGTGGCTTCCGGCTGCAATCCGTCACATCTGGGTCTGATCTGATGGATCCATCCAGCCGGAAGATTTGGGGGCAGCAGTAGCTCAACAGCTAGAGCGGGTTGTCCGGTAATCGGAAGGTTGCAGGTTCGATCCCAGCTCCAATCAGAGAATTCTGCTGTTGTGTCCTTGGGCAAGGGACCGGTGGCGCCTGTGCTCGGCAGCCTCGCCTCTGTCAGTGCGCCCTAGGGCAGCTGTAGCTACATCGTAGCTCATCCCCACCAGTGTGTGAATGTGTGTGTGAATGGATGAATGATACACTGTAGTGTAAAGCGCTTTGGGGTCCTTACTCTGAGAGGCGCGGGTCATTTATCATTTAGAAGACAAAGGCTGGTTTCAGCATGCAGAGCTTCGTCATGACAACGGAGGAAAAGAAGAAAGGGAAATTGTAGATTTAATGTAATTTTCAAGAATATTTTAATGAATTTATGATGCAAAACAAAACCTGACTTTCGGGTTCGGGTGTTTTTAAGCTAAATTTGAGAAACTAATGAGATCTGTAGTTCTGCTACTGGTGAAAGGAAAAAGAGAAACTAAACATCAGCTGAGTTTGTTTGGGTTTATTAGAACTGGAACCTCCGGATTAACAGGGATTAAGAACAAGACAAAAATAAGTTACTTTAAATGTATTTAAAATGTCTCATTTTAACCCAGATTAGGGTTTCATACGTGTCTGATTTTTGTTTCATCAGTAAAATTATTTTAATCTCAATGGGGCGAAACTAAGTGACGCGAATGTGCGGCTGAGAACTCCAGCCACCCGCTGACTGTAAACAAACCTCTGCTAACCGGTTAGATAGCACCTCACCTGTCCGGTAAACAGGTGTTTATGTTTGTCAAATAAACAATAATCACTTCATGAGCACCGCCTTCACGCTGTTGTCCAACACAACCCAGGAGAAGAGCTCACCTTGACATACGGGCTGACCTCACCGTGGTCCGAACTCTCCTCGCGGCGGTGCAGCTCGGTCACCGCCGCCGAACCGGTGGCGCTGCTCGGTTTGGTCTGGGACACGAACCGGGCCGGTGGAGCGGAGAGGGTTCGGGGCAAAGCGAGCCCGAACCGCGAGAACCGAGACAACATTTCTCCTTTCCAGAGGATACTGCTGGTCCGGAACCGGAAACAGATCTACTTCTTCACGCCGCAGCGTTGGCTGTCAAAGGGAGGGCCCACTACCGCCTCCTGGTGGTCATCGGAGGCATCACACCATGCGTCAAAACAAGACTGAAAGGAAAAACTTGAGAATGTTCTGAAATAATTCAGGAAAATTATTAATCAAAACACCATTTGTTAGTTTTAGTGTTTAAACTCTTTACTAAGTGATGTTCCACTGATAAATACTACAAACAAATCATGAGTCCTATTATTGAACAGGTGTGTGCATCAGTCCGACCCTGTTCCAGCGAAGCCTTTCATGGAGTTCAGTTTAATACAGATGTGCTTTAGTCAACACGCTTTATCCTGCAATAGCAACACACAACTTTATAGAATCTGAAGCTTTTTTAAAAAAAAAAACTAAACCAACTTTATTCACTTGCATCATTAATTTGTGTTCAATATACAACCAGTAACATCGTTGTTTAAAAGTTCATCTTTGTGCACATTTATGATTTCATGAGACATCATGTTTGAACAAAAGCACAGATCTCCAGCCAGCTCCAGTTCATGTGTTCACCTCCACAACCAGACTTTGTTTTCATGTACGGCTGAGGAGTCAGGCGCCAGCTGCAGCTTCGCTTCAACACCTTCATCGTAAAAGCGTCTCTTTAGATTAGTGATGATCTGAGTTTAAGGCTAAAATTATTCTGTGGAACAAACTCAGACGATGTTTCTGCTGGTCCCGCCCATCCAGCAGAATAAAACGTGTCGAACACGACCGCCGCAGGGACGTCTGCCCAAAACAAAGCCACGTAAAACTTCTACTGTAAAAAGCAGCGCCTCCACAGAACCGTTTTGATCTTAAAATACAAAAAAAAGGGAAATATTAAAAATCACAGGACACGATCATCCATGTGTTCTGACTGAGTTTAGATACAGAACCAGAGCAGAACCTCTCAGTGACCTGCAGAGGTGCTCCAGCATCACTACCTGGTGAAAGTTATCAAAGAGCAGCCCGACCCGGTTTAGTCGGGATCAGGCGGGAGGAACAGCTTCCTGCTCCGACCCGGCCCATAAGACTAGATCCGATCAGAACAGAACCAACAGCGACGACTGAAAACTTCAGATTCAAACTTATCTGATGTCACCAACAACACCTGGAACGGAGCGCCGGGACACCTGGATGAGGAGTTCTGAGGCGCTTTAATGACTGCAAACCTACCAGAACCGCTCCTTCGGCCGACCAGTGGGGGTTCAGACATGTTTGCATTTCTAAACAAACAAAAACAGAAACAAATTTAAAAAGTTTTTAAACAGAAAACCCGTCGGGTTTAGTTGGTCCGGAGGCTCGGACCGTTTTCGGTCGTTTAGCGTCTCTCAGCAGAGTCGACGGAGCTAATCAGCTGACCGTAGTAAACAACAACGGTCACAATCAAAGTAAACAACTAAACAAATCAACTACAACAATGCATAAAGTAGAGGCTAACGGGTACATCCTTATTGCACAAACCCAGAAACACACACACACACACACACACACCACCGGGGGCGGCTGAAGCGCCGGAGCACCCGGCTGATTAAAAGATGGAAGGCAGAAAAAGACACGTTGATTATTTTGGCTCATCAGCTTAAAGCAGAAACAAGTCAGAAAAGAAAGCATGAGAAGTTTCGACAGAGCTGCTCAGACCCGGCGTTCCTAAAGACGGACGCAGCCGCCGCGCGTTGCAGCGACAGCTGTGGCTGATGCACGAGCTCGAGCTAAACGCCTGAAGGACCTCGACGGTGGGATCCACGATCCAGGTTGGTTCTCCGGGACCGAGAAGTTGTGCTCGTCGATATAAAAACATAAAAACGTCATTCAAGAGATGAAAAAGATGCAGAAGAAGAAGAACCAACTAGTTAGTGTGTTACTAACCCGTCAGGCACAGAGATCATGTAAAAGCACATCTGCAGCACCACTCCCCCCCTCTAGGGGCAGGAGAGCACGATAAAGCCCCATCAGAACGTCTCTGGTCCAAATACGGTCGGATTTCCCTCTAGAAGAGCTGAAGATGTCAAAAACTAAAGTTACTGCCGCAGATGTCTTCCTGAACGGCCTCAGCTCAGAGAAATAGAGTTCATGTCTCTTAGGACTGATGAGCTAACAGCTAGCGGTGCAGCCAAAAACAAACGGCATCAGCATCCTCCAGAAACGCTTCACATCTTTATCTGTTTCCCATCCCAGAAGGAATGTTCAGGACTTCCTGCCAGGCGTGACCCCCAGATGACCCGGAAGTGCTAAACGAACCTGCTGCAGCAGCGTAGCTCGTTGTAGCCGTTGGCTCGTGACTCAATTTCTCTGAACCGAGGCCATTCAGGAAGCCAAGAACAAGATGGGAATGATTTGTGACGTTCACACAGGCTGAGTGGAGTCTCCCTTTAAGGCTTCGGCACACCTGCTGAGAGAGCGCCAGCGGCTACGCCCGCCCCGTCGAGGGTCCGGAGACCCCGGCGGAACTTCGGAGACGCACATCAACAGCAGCCATGAGATTCGTTACCCACAACCTGGCCAGGTTCTGCTGGAGATGTAAAAGCGGACTCCTGAACCCTCCTCCTGGGTTTCCGGACACGAAACCAAAACATAAACAAAGATCAGAGAAAGGCCGAATGCACCGACAAGACTCCGCGGTCCTTCAGAATCCAGGCAAGCCGAGTGAGCTTCAGCTGTCACAATTTAAACTTCATGCGTCTGCAGCAGCGGCGGCGGCAGCAGCAGCAGGAGCGTCAGCAGCAGCAGCAGCAGCAGCAGCAGCAGCAGCAGGAGGAGCGTCAGCAGCAGCAGCAGCAGCAGGAGCAGCAGCGGCTGCAGCAGCGGCTGCAGCAGCAGCAGCGGCTGCAGCAGCGGCGGCGGCAGCAGCAGGAGCGGCTGCAGCAGCAGCAGCAGCAGCAGGAGCGGCAGCAGCAGCAGGAGCGGCTGCAGCAGCAGCAGCAGGAGCGTCAGCAGCAGCAGCAGCAGCAGCAGCAGCAGGAGGAGCGTCAGCAGCAGCAGCAGGAGCAGCAGCGGCTGCAGCAGCGGCTGCAGCAGCAGCAGCGGCTGCAGCAGCGGCGGCGGCAGCAGCAGAGTCGACGCCCTCACAAAACAAAGGATATGATGATTACAGGCGGGAATACACGTCAGCAGGCACGCGGGACGAGCCCGGCCCAACATCAGGAGGCAAACGGAACCTCAGAGTCCGACCACGGTGAAGTCCAAAGCTGCAGGACGGAATCAGGAAGTGGAAGAAACCGAGAGGGGAACGGTGGCGCTGAGGTTGTAGGTGGAGTTTGGTGACGACGGGGGTGAAGCTAAAGGGCTGTAAACGGGCCGCGTGGAGAGGGGCGGAGACGGGGACGGAGGAGCCGCTGTGGTCGGAGAGTCCGAGCTCACCTCGTCTCCTTCCTCCGAGTCCCAAACCTCACTCTGCAGATAGTCGGCGAACAGGGCCTTGGCCCGCTGCAGAACCCTGCCGAGGTTGTGGCGGCGCACCAGGCGGTCGAAGTGCATGGCGATCTCGTTGTAGTCCAGGTTGTTCTTGATGATGTGGTCCCGGTGCTCCAGCAGGATGGACAAGCACAGGAACAGCATGAAGGGGTTTCCCTTCCCGAACTCCTGAGGAGGAGGTAGAGAGCAGGGTTTGATGCTGGTGGTCTCCGCCTTCAGGGAGCCGGGCGTGCTGGCGGCGGCGCTGGGGGACCTGGGGCCCGGAGAAGACAACCTGCTGCCTCCGAAGGACAGGACGGGAGAGGACAGCAGGGACCTGCTGGGACCGTGAGAGGGGGAGGTTTTCACAGGAGGACAGCTGGTCTCTGCGGTGCTCAGCACCGGGACCGGAGAAGTCCACACTTTAGGGACAGTCTTTGACGAGGCCTCGCCTCCGCTGGCCGGAGATGTGGGATCGGGAGGAGAGTCGGGAGAAACTCCTGGCCAGCCGGAGTTTGAAACTGAAGATGAAGGAGAGACGGAATGTCCGTTTTTCCAGGCTGGAAGTCCACCGGGGAAGAGGGAGCGTGACGGTGCTGGAGAGGGACCGTTTGGACAGTTTGTAATGAGAGGCGTCTGTTCTCCTGGGTCGTCCTCGCTGTCCACGGTGGACTGGCGCCTTGGCTTGTCCCTCGCCGTGTCAGCGTCCTCCACGTCCATGCTGTCTTCACTCCGAGCGGTGTAGTATTTAAACTCTCCAAAGCTGGGTTGTCTCTGGCAGCAGCGACGCCGGGATTCCGACTCCTCCGCGGTTTCTGGAGCGTCGTTTTCCCTCCCAGCGTCTCCGGCTCGCGCCTCCTTCTCTTCAGCGAGGATTCTGCGCACCTCCGGTTCTCCTCTGGAAGGCCTCAGCATGTGCCGCCGACGCTGCTTCTCCTTTTGTCCCTCATCACCTCTACGGACATTTTCCAGGGTCCCCCCTCTAAAGGCCGTTTGTTCGGCCTCCACCAGCGGTCCCAGGAGCTCCACTTCCGTTTCAGGAGGATCCGGGGGCAGGGAGCTCCAGGTCACCTCCAGCATCCGCAGAGCATCGTCGAACGCAAACTCTCGCTTCAGCTCCAGGAGAAGCCAGCGGTAGCAGAAGAAGAGGTCGTCGGCTCCTCGGGACACCAGGTAGGTGTAGAATTCCGGATCCGAGTACTGCAGGAGAAGCTTCAGGTGCTGGAACTTGACGGACATGAGCTGCCCGTCTGGTCGGAAGTTTCCCTCCACGCGTTTCATGATGCCGCAGAAGCAGATGAAGGCGTGTGCCTCGTTGTCCATGACTGCTAGGATGGGAGAGGCGATGTCACTCATGCCCTGGCAGTAGGAGATCTGGAAAACATCCCAGAATTCCACAAGTCCGTTAGACACCGGGACAAAGACAGCTCATGAAAAATGTTTTACAGATCCGACCTGAAGCCGAAAGTTCTACAAAGACTCATCGTCTGTCTGAACTCCAGAACGTTCTGGAATGTTTGGGAATATTTGGGAATTGTGAATAAAAAGCAGCAGTAAAGAAGTTTGAACACCTGGTGGTGAAGCAGCAGAACGCCTGATGTTCAGCGTCTCTTTAGGGACGAGGTCATGTGATGGACTCACCTGAGGGTGCGTGATGGCGAACGCGGTGAGCAGGTCGGTGAGGGCGGTCAGGTGTGGACTGTCCTCTGAGCCGGCGTAGTACGAGTGAGCTCGATCCGTCCTCAGGACGTCCTTCAGAACGTTTCCACGGATGAACTCCAGCTCCTCGTGGCTGACCCGGGCCGTCCACTCCCTCTTCAGCTGCTCGTACTCCCTCGTCTTCCTCTTCATGTAGTCCATCCTCTCCTGCCCGCTCAGTCCGTCGGGATAGACGTTCAGGAGGTAGCGCCACACCACCTGACGGAGACAAACACTCTGTTTCTGGTTCAGTCACACCGTAACGGAATGAAATGACCGTTTTCCACCTAAAAGTCACCCCCCCCAATGTGACCAATCTGTGAAATGAAAATATTAATTACTTTATTATAATCCTATAGAATATAATAAGTAATATGACTTTAAATGTTTCCACTAGGACTGATCTCACGTAGCGTTGAGAGACGACACATTACTTTCACTGATCCAATCAGAATCTGCCAGATCTGACGGAGGCGGGGTTTTGGTGGTGCTTGGTAAATCTGTCATCTTTTCATTCGACCGTAAACCAAAACATCCGAAGTATAAAACTATGCCCACGCCATCTTTAACGCCAGTTCAACACGTTCTAGAGAAGTTGTCGGAGTGGCCAATCCGTAACTTTCCTCTTCAGCCGAAAGAACCAACGACAAGCTGGATAAACCTGTTGCTGTTCCAACTGCTGCAACGGTTCCTTTCAGAATAAAAGCTGAACCATCACGACCCAGGTTTGGGTCTCACTAGATGCCAACAAAACTGTCGTGACCCGCAAGTATCTCAAGACTGGTCTGGTCGGCAACCGCTGCTTTTCTACCGGCTTCAGGTCCACAAGGTCAAGCTGGACCTCGACATTCCTGATCTAACGGGGACTTCCGAAAGGGTACGTAGAGCGACAGGATGGCGTCTCAATGTGTGTTTATGAATCTCCAAACCAAAGCTTAGCGTGAAGACATCACCTTCACTTCCACCAGAACTAATCGTTCCTCCGGATTTGCTGGTTCTGAACAACATTCCACTCTACACCATTCTCCATCTCATCCACCTTAGTTACACCATACATCTAGTGTTAAAGTTAGTCTAGTTTTGATTTGTTTAGTAATAAATCTTTAAACTTTTAAACTTGACTCTCTTCTGTTGTCTCTGAGTGAATATGAAGCTGTTACATAATCCCTGCAATAAAAAGTTCCAGTCTTCTGGTTAAAAGTACCCAAAGATCCATAAGGTTGATTTCATATTTCCTATGGAATCTCATCTCTCATGGTTACAACGCATTTCTGTCATTTACACCAACGAGTGAATTAGAAACGTTTTTCTTGTTCATCGATTTGACGTCTGCTGGACTCAGCTGGCGAACATCTAAAGTTCTGACTGAAGTCCTGAACGAGGAGAGCTGTTGGGCGTTTTGGGCTCTCGTGGACCAAACCCACTAGGAGACCTCGGCACCTCCAGAACGACGAGCGAAGGAGACGTTCTGCCCTCTGAATCTGGACGTTCTAGCCTAAACCACCTCCAGGAGCCCGTAGAACCGAGCGTTAGCGGAACAGGAGCAGAAACCTTTCGTAGCGACGGCTCCACGCCACCGTGGTAGATCCTCAGCCGTAGTTCTTCCGGCCGGGTCAGCTGGCCCTGTCCGTTCAGGTAGCTGTGGAACTCCGAGTCGCTCAGCGGAGGTTTGAAAGGTCTGATCTCCTCCCCATAGGACCAGGTGAAGGCCTGCTGGACTCGAGACAGGGTCCGACCCACCTGTAAACAGGTAAGGACGACCCGTTTGACGTGACAGAAACTCATTTTGGATGAGAAGGTGTCTGAAGTTGGACTTCAAGTGAAGTTTAAAGAAAAGCATTCTGATTTTTATGCACCCACCACCCACCCACCCACTACTGGTGACCTGCTGACCTGGGACAGTAAGGACTGGGTGAAGGGGAGAGCTGCAGAAGCCAACGTCCTGGTCCTCTCAGTAAGCAGCTCAGAGCCAATCACGTCTTTGGGACTGATGATGTCCCAGTCCTCCATGACTGGACCTGCAGGTAAAAAGAAAAGGATGAAGTTCTATTCCCTCCCCTCGTGCTTTTGGACAACTCTGGGTCCTTACTGTCCTCTGAAGGCTTCACGTCCATCTTCAGCTGCAGGAACGGTTTAGCTGCGCTCATAAACGCCACGTCCAGATCCCAGTCCGACAGCAGAGACAGGTGCGTCTCCACTCCGCTCCGATCCCGGGACAAGTAGCTGATGCTGAAGTTCCGCTTCCTGGTTTGATTCAGCAAACAGACAAAAGGTTTATCCACAAGCCCTCGGCAGCGTGTTGGGACGGAAGTCGCCTCCTACCCGTTCAGGTCGAAGGCTCGGATCAGGATGTGCTGCAGAACCTCCAGAGACGTGATCTGAGGATCCACAGCAAAGGAGCGAAACTCGACAGGAAGAGCGCCGTCACATTTCTGGAAGGAATCAGATCAGTGGAACATCTGGGTGAGACCGGGACAGGCTTTGGAGAACAAAGCTGGGTCTGAACGCCGCTGATGAGAACGCAGACATTAACCACCGTGGGACCGTGTTTATGAGTAAACAACAGATGTTTTATCTGTAACTGCAGCTTGGTGATGGGAGCTTGCATTAATGAACGCTTTCTCCATTCAGCTCAAACAAGAGCAGCTGTAGCCGAACCTGATGTGTGTTCAGCCCTGGAGGTCAAAGGTCGAAGCTAAGAGACGTTAACCACAAGTAAATAAATAAATAAACAAATAAACGTTTTGACTAAATAAAACCTTCAGAACATCAGGAGGAATTTCTAAGATAAAGTAATGACGTCAGGATGGAGGCTGAAATAAAATTCCTCTCGTGGCTCTTCCTCTCCAGGTAACATTTGACGTCACACGGAGCAGCGAGGTGACGTCAGCCCGCAGCTTCGGCGAACTGCTCCGAGTTGGACAATAATCACAAAGAACGACAGAAATGGGAATCGATCAGAACGAGCTGAGACTCGGAGATGATCGATCAGCTCCTGCTGCTGTCACCGCCGCAGGTTTCAGAGCCACAACAAACAAACAAACAAACGACCGACACACACACACACGGCCTGGGTTCCCCACAGACTCACTCCTTCTTCTCCCATAAGCAGATAATTGTGTTTCTGTCCGAGTTTATTGTTTTCTCCGCGTGTGTCTGACAGAAATAAACACAAGACCGAACCGGGACAACGGCGTCGTTAGCCGCCAGCGGCGCGCGGTTAACATCCTACCTTGACTTTGACACGAACCACCCCCCGCTCCTCCTCGCCTGCCATCCTAAAGACTCCGTCTGGAAACAGAAACGTTTCTAGGAAAACAGTTTCCGTTCACACCGACATGGTCACCGTGACATGGTGGAGCTAGCGCCGACAGAGCTCCACTGGTCCGGGATCTTCTTCTGTTTTCGTTCTTTACAGGAAGTTTTCAGTAGAAACACCGCCACCTGGTGGTCGAACCCCGAAACCGTCACTTCCGAACGCATTCAGGATAAATGGGAAATCTTAACTTCACAACAATCAGCCAAACTCTGATCAGTGTTTTAGTTGTTTCTGTTAGCCCCGAACAATCGTAACCGATCCATCACCGATCCAAACTCTTCAGTAACAAAACGAATGCATTTCAACGCACATCATGGGCTTTATTCTGGTTGGAGGGAAACATATCCAAACATGTCCACGCATAGTGACTTTGCCCTTAACTGGAACACGGGTTAGTATGTAAAGGCAAATAAAGTATTCTTTATTACGGACTTTTAGACACAGAAGTAGAAAAAACATGGTACAGGTAAGAAAAAAGGAAATGAGCTCGATACGCTCGTTTCAACTCAGTCTGCAGCCGGGACCTTCTCCGGCGACGCGACTGGCTGAACCAATCCCATCCGAGCCAAACTCTGGAAAGCTCTGAAGAGCCTCACAGCAAATCCCGACTAAACATTAAAATGCGACAGAAAAAGCATTTTAACATATTCTGGTAACGTATCTAACAGTTTGGTTACAGTGAAAACAAAGGATTCACAAAAAAATTAACAAGCGTAACAAGTATAGTCAATCAAGTTATATATTTTCCCTTCCTGAAAAATAAACAGCTTAACCCCTTCTCTGGTACGGGTTATTTGTTTAAATTAAACGCATTTTAATTGTCTTTCTAATTTCCCAGTTTTTACGAATGCAACACTTGGTCATAAGACTGACTTTTTTGGTGCATGGTGGTAGATGTAGTTTGAGTGACTGACCTTTTCTGGTGTTTCTAACTACGCTCAAATTACCAGAAGACTTCATTTCCCAGAACCACTTGCGCTCTATTCGCTGATGACTTCCACCCTAAACAGAAGACTGTCAGAAATAAAAGGATTTTCGGCGCTGTTGGAGGTCTGATTTAATTAAGTAGATTTAGACGTTTTGTGACAACATTTATTGATTATTATTGCTGTAAAAAGGCTTCTAATGAAACCGAGGCTAGCCGTAGAAGTAGCAGCGTTGATAATTGGAAGCTAGTTCGTTGCTAACAGAAGATGGGAGCTGCGTTTGTGTCTAACTGACACAAATTCTGCAAACTGATGTTTAAAAACGCGTTTCCATCACCGGGCTTGGTGCGTTGATCCCTACGGTGTGTTTTAGAGAAGCTTCAGCGATGGAGGAAGTTGACAAGATTCTGATTCACGCGCTCAGACAAGTCGGCACGTAAGTGTTCACGTTAGATTAGCTTAAAGTTCAGCTTTACGAGCATAGACGTGAGGGTAATGTTCGATGTCCCGCAGGCTGCTGAGTGAAGAGATCGACAGCGTGAAACAGTTCAGCAGTGAGCTGATCGTGGAGGCGGTGGTCAGATGTATCCGGGTGATCGATCCGGGCCTGGGGGGCGCCCTGCCCACCTCGCTGCCTCCCGGCATGTCGGCCCGCTTCCGGGTGGGCATGAGCCTGGCGCAGGCCTGTCAGGTGGGTGTCTCAGGGGGACAGTCCGACATGGTCCTGTGTCCTCCTCTCATCACTGCTAGACTCCCCCATCACCACAGCTGATGCCTGTGAAAAACGACCCAATCCGAGCTATGAGAAGAAGACAAACACGTGGGAATGTTGAGACTCCACATGTTTTAAATCCTATAGTGGAGATTTTGAGCACTGACGTGTTCCTAAATGCTTTACCGAGCTCTGCTGCTCACCTGTTGGTTTCCAGGATGTCGGCTTTAAAGGAGAGATCGGCTACCAGACCTTCCTGTACAGCCACGAGTCCGAGATCCGCTCACTGCTCATGTTCCTGGTGGAGAAGCTTCCCAGAGAGAGCGCCGAGGCTTCGGATCAGCCCACAGGTACAAACATCCACACGGCATCACCTGGTTAGGAAAATCCGGCTGGCTTTTATGTGTGGGACCATTTCTGTTCACGATGATCACCGTTTTTAACTCTGATTTGGGTTTTTAAGGAACAAACTTGGATATTATCTACAGATCCGAGTCTGAACACATCAGAGCAAACCGAAACCCCCAAATTTACAGTTTACTTTGAACCGGCAGAAAAATAGTTTTATTATGAATATATTAGTTTAAAGGTTGGAGCCAGGATCCCTCCAGCTGGGAGATGATGTGATTGATGAGCTCCAGCAACTGGGAGGAGCTCAGGGTGAAACAGCTCCTCATCAAAAGGAGTCAGCTGAGGAGCTTCAGGGGCCTGATCGGGATGCCTCCCGGTCACCTCCCTCCGGGAGGAGACCCAGAACTCCCGGGGGGATTATTTATCCTCTCTGGCCTGGGAATACCTTCGGATTCCTCAGAAGGAGCCGGAGAGGACGGTATTGGCTTCTCCACGGTTCGAGCATGGATGAATGGATGAAAAAAGACCCAGACTCAGAAAAACCACCGACATGGGCCGAGTTATCGGAAACAAACAGAAACAAACTGTTTAACGTTGGTTTATTTCTTTTTTGGGACTCATTAAAACGTTTTTCACCCTGAAGGGAAATCCGCCGTCCTCCAGAGATCCATCGCTGCCGCCATCCGAAGCCAGCTGGCCATTTCCTGGGTCCCTCCCAACTGCAGGCTGCCTCTCCACTGTGAAGCACAGGTGAGCGGTGCGGTCTAACGTCTGGAACGTGCACGTGGGCCGAGGCTGCCCTTCTTAACCCGCTGAGTGAGTGCTCTGTTCTGTTCAGAATCGGGGAGCGTTGCACAGCCTCCGCGTCCAGCCGCTCAGCGTTCCGCACGGCGCCAAAGGCTTCGACAGGAAGCATCTGAAAGGTGCGTCGCCGGCTGCAGCGGCGCGGCTCACTGAGCCGTTCTGCTTTCACCTGTAAACCCAAACCTCTGATGCCTCGTTAGACGTTAGATATTTTATGTAGAGGTAATGTTGTTCTGTCTTTTATTTGCTGTTTTAGTTTATTTTTTTTTTTATTCAAAACTCTTTGGAGGAATGCACCGATTCTGGTTTCAGGAGCCGATGCCGATCATCGTACGGCTCAGACCTGCCGGTTCTGATTTATTAGTAATTATAAAATACTTTTTTCTTCTTTCTGATGCCAAATAAAATGATGAAATAAAAATAATGGAATCAGGCTGGATTAGAGGTGCGCCAGGATGGGGAAGCTCTGGCCTCCGGGCCGTACGCGGCCCTCGGCGCGCTTTTATTTGGTCCGCTACACAAATTCAAACTAAAAACTAAAAGAATTAGTCGTTGCATCACGTTGTTTACACGTGGAGTCCCTCAGAGGACTTTCCACAAACCGATGTGTCCTCTGAGAAATCCAGCGAGTGTTGTCTGTGCTTTCAGAGGCGATGGACTACCGCAGGGACGTCCTTCCTCCCGTCACCGCCCAGATTTCCAGTCGCGCCTCTCTGGTGGCGTCCATTTTGGAGCAACACACGACGGAGCTTAGTGCCGCTCAGGAGTGGGACAACGAGTGGAAGAGTCAGGGACTTCTGTCCCGCCTCACACCACAGGCAATCCAACTCATTCCGTACCGATCCGAACTCCGGATCTGGATTTTCCTTCCCAGCAGCCCGACTCTCCTGTAGTGGTTCTGCATCAGCAGGCCTCCGGGCTTTCTGAAGGTTTCCTTTGGAAGACGTTTGGCTCTTCCCTCGGTTGTGGGAACGTCTGGCTGCTGGGAGGAAAAGGGGAAGAACGGACAGGAACTTTAGGCAGAACTTTTCCTGTGAGTTTCCGTTCTGAATCCCAGAAGCAGCTCTGATCAGAAACCTGTAGCTGTGTAAGTCCGAGTCCGTGTTGGACTGTGGGTTGGTGCTGGTGCGATGAGGAGGGACGTGATTCGCTGATGATGAAGGTGTTTTTATGACTCGTTGTGTGACAGGAGTACCGCTCCAGGAAGTTGGCGCGGCTGCATAAACGCATCGAGGAGCAGCTGCGCTCCGCCACCGCGCCACCTCCCGACGGTGCCTTTGGGGTTTCCCGCTCCACCTCGGAGCTTTCGGAGCTGCTGCAGACCTTCAGAGGCTCCGCCCCCTCCAACGACATCCTGAGCAAGGGCACCCACTTCACCCACACTCAGAAGTTCAGCTTCACTCTGGTCAGGAAGTGCTTAGAGACGGATTCCTCTGCAAGAGGCGCTTGATGGTAACGTGTGTTTGTTCTCCAGGAAACCACGGCGATTGCAACGAGCCCCGTCCTCGCCGGGCGTCAGACGGAGGGCGACGTTCAGCTCCGACAGCAGGAGGAGATCGCCGCTCTCCAGCAACAGTTCCAGCAGCTCTGCAGCGACGTCGACCAGCTAGCAGCAGAAATGAAACGCGCGGGCGTCACTAACGCGCAGGTACGACACTTCCTGTTCCCGCTGAGTCCCCAGAACTCTGTTTCTGCTCGCTTTCCTGAAGTTTTCCTGCAGGAAGGAAGAGAAACGCTGAGATAACCTGAGTGTTTGTCCTGCAGGTGCTGGATGAGCTGAAGCAGAGGGAGCTGGGGAATGTGGAGCTGGAGGAGAAGCTTCAGGTGAAGAGGAGAACGATCAGCCTGCTGCCGGACGCAGACGGCAACCTGCTGAAGCTCCAGGTAGGACGGGCGTCCGATAGGACTCCAGCAACCTCCGCCAGGCTCTCCGGGTCACTTCCTGTTCCTCCTTGCAGACCCAGGTGGAGTCCAGCGCCCAGCGGGTGGTGAACCTGGCGTCCCAGTGGGAGAAGCACCGCGCTCCTCTCATTGACGAGCATCGCAGACTAAAGGAGATCTGCAGCAACAAAGATGTCCGTAAGATCTGATCATGCTGACCCGATCCGGTTCAGGTCGGTTCTCGTTAACGCGTCTCTCGTTTTTACAGCTGGAGTCGTCTAGAAAACTTTCTGAGATCAAGTCTCTGCACGAAAAAATCCGCGTTTCCACCGAGGAGGCGAAGAAGAAGGAAGAGTCGTACAAACAGCTGGTGACCGAACGTTTTTGTGTCTACAGAACGTAACAAATACCCGCCGTCCTCAGCTGCCTGAACAGCATCTGTTCAGAGAAACGGAGTCTACGTCCATCAGGACTGACGAGCTAACGGCTAGTCTGAGCTGCTGTCCTTATACCATATTTAAGATGTTCCCTGGCCCTGAGGGCCCAGTAGGCCTACGTGTAGCTGCTGATCATCACGCCAGCGTCTCGGGATTAACCGCGCTCCGCTGCTAACTCTGTCCCGTTTGTCCTCCGTAGGTCACGGAGTTGGAAAGTCTTCCCAAGGACGTGTCTCGGTCGGCATACACTCAGAGGATCCTGGAGATCGTCGGCAACATCAAGAAACAGAAGGAGGAAATCACAAAGGTGTGATCATCAATAGCGCCTCTTAGAAGGAAGTGGGCGGGTTGGATTGGGACCGGCAGATCTGCGCTAACGTCGCAGCTTTCCTTGCAGATTTTGTCGGACACCAAGGAGCTGCAGAAGGAGATCAACAGCCTGACGGGGAAACTGGACCGGACCTTCGCCGTGACCGACGAGCTGGTGTTTAAGGTAACCAGGAGATAAACCTCCGATCCTGTTAGAGCTCCAGCTGAATGACTGAGAAGCACCGATATGAAAATCTGTGCATCCTTGGTGAGTTATGATCTTTAGCTTCTCTCTTTCTGTCTGAATTCATCTTTTTTTTAATTTGTTTTCTTGCAGGACGCCAAAAAAGATGAATCCGTCCGTAAATCCTACAAATACCTGGCTGCCTTGCATGAGGTACGCCACGGAGTTGGTTTGCAGCCATGGAACAGTTACTGGTTTTGCTGGTTACCATGGTAACCAGCTAGCGTACTGTGAAAACCGTATTGTGTGACCAGGAAGCTGCTGATTGGACCTGGCGTCTGTCGGCTCGCCTGCATCCGTTTACAGCTAACGCAGCGCTAGCTAACATCCCCCACCGAAGTGTTTTTATCCATCTTATGGACCGGTGGCTGTTTTTGTTTAAAGAGCAAGTCACCCCCTACCAGAGTATTACTCCACTCTCACTTCCTGTTTGAAAAACGCAACAATTGATGTTGCCTAGCAGACCGAGAGGGCGGAGCCGCTAACAGTTACACACATTGTGACATCATATGGTACCAGCTGACGTTCTAGGGTACCTCTTAGCCAATAGCGATGGCAGATTTAAATTCAAATGCAGAGTTTTTACCTGACAACGGCACAACACTGACAGTTTTAGGCAGAAAATTAAAATTTTAACTAGAATGCACTAAAGTGCAAAACTGTTGACGACACGTGTCTGCAGCACGATCAGACACACATTAATGTAGTTGATCAGAAAATAAAGTTGATTTGGGGGTGACTTGCTCTTTAAAGAGTCCTGACCAAACTGAGACCCTTTCACAATAAAAGCCTCGAGCAAAATAACTTTTGAATGTTGTTGAACTAACAACACAACAGACTTGATGCTGGGAGTGTTTGGTCCTGCAGACCGTAAGAAGCTGTTATTCCAGCTGCTACTTGTTGAACTTGGAAAGAGAAAGGAAATCTGGGATTGAGGGAAAATGATGAAAACTACCAGTAATAAATGATAATGACCCGTTTAGATGGCGGGAAGACCTGCAGTTGTTATCGTTTCAGTAACATAACCGTACAAATTTCCTCACAACCGTGTTTTGTTGTGGTCTGCAGAACTGCAACCAGCTGATCCAGACCATCGAGGACACGGGAACAATCCTGAGAGAGATCCGAGATCTGGAGGAGCAGGTAGAACTTCCTGGCTGGATTCCCAGCTGTGGGACTTTGTGTAAATGTTTATTTAAAACCGACGTTTGTTCACCCGTCGTCCGCAGATTGAGACAGAGAACAGCAACAAGAGCGTGTCGAACCTGCAGCGGATTCTGGACGACTACAAGGCCATCCGGCAGGAGAACGCCGCGCTCGCTGCGAAAATCAGAGAAGGCTGAAGTCTCCGGCCCAAGGGAAACCCGGAGGCTGCGGTCTGAGGGAGACGGAAGCAGCGCTCCGTCCTGCAGAGACCGTGGCTCGTCACCATGGAAACCAGCTGAATTTTGGGAAGCGATGCTGACGTCCTCACGCGTGTCCTGGACGGGTCAGATGGACCACGCACTGGTTTGATTATGTGAAAGGGAGCTCTGGACACTAGGTGGCGCTGTCTGCACACATTTTCAAAGGCTGTTTAAAATCCGCTCTTTAATGAGTTATCATTTCGTTTTCTGATTCTCTTGGTTATGTTTGAAGTGAAGCTGTTGAACGAACGGCGTTTGAATGTAGATCCGTGAACTTTGGTCCCGATCCATCAGCAGAGTATTGTTGTGTACGTGGTACCAGCGTAAATAAAGATGCCTTACACGCTTCAGGCTGTTGTTTCATCATCCTGAAGACCGCGTCACGAACCCTAGCAACCCGTTTCTGGTGTCTAGCAACATCAAGTCATTTAAAACGGTATTTTTATGAAGTTAAACTCTAAAGAAGACTGGGACACTCGAGATGAAACCATGTTTCCATGTTTTTGCCACAGTTCTGTGCTTTAAACTGTTGAGTGACAGAAAACATCAACTTTGTATTAAGATTTTAACAATCTGATTCTTGAGAGAATAAAATCAAATATTTCAGGCGTTTTATGATGTTTTAAGACTTTCTGTGTAAAAGTTATACATGCAGACTCCTCTGAACAGCCTCTGTTTAGAGAAATGGCTTAACTGCTTTGGGACTGATAGGCTAATGGCCAGTCTGAGCACAGCCAGAACCCGAGGTGAGTGGCTGCCATCCAAAGCCTGGAGCACAGCGGAGGCGGCTGCACCTGCGTCGGCACCGTCATTTTCAATAGAAGCCGTTATAGTTAACGAGTGGGCACATGGGCCGCGCCGCGTCCCAGAAGCGCCGCACCGAAGATGGGAGCCAGTTCTATCTGGCTGTTTACGACATTGTTGAGTACTTTAACACAGACATGACGACGCGGAACGGCTTTACGGCACAAGCCCAGCCGCAGTTTTGATAACTGTAAAGTACTATTGATCTCAAAATACTCTAATAAATAGTGTGCTTACGCATTTTTTATGAATTTGAGTCTCACAAAACACGATGGCAGGTCTGATCACGTATAAACAATAGTCACTTCCTGCTTCCTGTTCTGTAGTCCGCGTGGGGTTGCAACTATCGCGCGACTTTCCAAGAAGCGCTCAGCGGCGACGAGTGTGACCACTTCTCAAAATCTCGGGCACCTCCGGTGTGCCGCGGCCTTTAAGACTCAAATCTTCTAAATTCCACGGAGCGCTGTTTTTTTTCTTTACAGCTTGGAGATTTTCCTGCTGGACGGTTCGATAAACGGGAACTGTTACCGCTTCCTGTCAGAGTTCTCCGTAAATACCCACGTAAAGTGAAACAGATTTTAGAAAAATCCACAATTCAATAGATTGCAGCTGTTAGAGACAATGTAGTTTTTACCATTAATTTTTGGGAATATACTTCAAAATGTTGAAAATGAATGAAATGATGCCCAGTTGTAACATATAACCATAAAAATCAGGTCTAAATTACACGGGAGCGGGTCCAAGTCTCTGGACGACGCCATACTAGACGCCATGTCTCCTACGGGAGCCCATGAGGACAAAATGGATTTACTGATTTGTAACAAACATTCTTCAACATAATCGTTTTACACATTCACCTCTTCACTTGTTGCCACTGATAAAAGTGAGTTGGATGTGCTTGTTATTTTGCTAAAGTTTGCACTCCCCAGGGCTTTTTGACCCTAATGGGCATCCATTGGAAAGGTCTTACCCCAGCACAAAAATACTGCTTGCTTGCAACGAGTTAGGTATCTGCTGCCCCCTATCACCAGGAAAAATACACACTGTCACTTTAAGATGGCACCAACAACTCTTTTGGCCAGGTATGTTAAACTAGCTGTTAGCTTATCAGTCCTAAAGGAGGTAAACAATTTCTCTGAACTGAGGCTGTTTGATAACTTTCTGTTCTGTGTTCATGTAAAGGACATCTGTCCAGAACCCAGAAGGTGAAGCCAAAGCAACAAAAGCACTCTAAGATGGTGTATAATGTCCAGAATGGATGAATGACAGATTGTGTTGTAAAGCGCCTTGGGGGGTTCCAGGACTCTAGAAGGCGCTATATCAAATACAGACTGTTTACCATTTATGTTTTAAGGCCAGCCCTCTAGATGCAAACCATGACAAAAAAAAGATCAATTTTTCAAAGTATTGATTGAAATACTTCTTTAAAGCTTATTTTCTTTAGTTATTTGATGCTTTGTGCAGGTGAGTAGGCGGAGCTTACAGCGCTGCATCCTGAAGTGTCCAGTTGGAGACCAGAAGGGGGCGGAGACTGTGGACAGAGAGTTCCTGCAGGAACGATTTAACCCTAAATCAACAATCGGAGCAGTTTCCTGTTTTTTATATTTCATTAAACATTTAATTCAGAATAAATTCACAAACAAATCACACCAAATGAAACCTTCACAGCTGCGTGAGCAGATGTTGGCTCGTGGAACCTGCTTCTTTGGTTTCCTATGTGCTGCTTGGCTGAGGCCCGTGTTCACCTCCAGCTGAGCAGAAATATTTGCACTCGAGTGTCAAACTCCACCCTGGATTTGGTTCTTTTTTCTAACCAAAGGCATTTTCTTTAAGAAACTTTGGTTATCAGAAAACACATTTTTCTTCTTGAGTCATTATTTTTGGTTTGCATTCATAGATTTAACATTTTAATTGCTGTTAATAAACCACATTTAGCCTCAGTTAAAGCAAACAGCTTCTGGTGGTTGAGGGGCCTCCATGGTCATGGCGTTCGGCTCTTTGAAGAACAGAAGACTTCTGCCGGCGCCGGGTCCCAGTTTTAACCTAATCTGATCACAGATCGTCCTTCAAATGAGCAGAACCAGTCCCACCTCCCAGCAGCAGGTCCAAAGGTCCAGGGAGGGCTGTGGGAGGAGGAGGAGGAGGTGCAGCGGTGGAGCTGCTGCTGTTTTGGCCATGAGGAATCTGCACGTTAATGGCCACCAAGATTTCTCTTCTCACCGCTCATCCAGTCGATCCCGATGAAGGTCAGACTCATGATCATGAAGATAAAACCCAACGCGCTGAAACAAGCAGCCTGGAAACGGAATAAAAGCCCAGAGGGATCCGTCAGCTGAACCCAACATAACTGCTGTCAATCAACCATCATCATGTGGGCGTGGTCTATTTGAATGTGACCAATCAGATGAGGACCAGTGGATTCCTTTTTATCTGCTGCTATAATGATTGTCTCACCTGGATCTTTGGTCTGGAGCTCATGGGTTCTTGGTTTTTAGGGACGATGCGGATGTAGAAGAGTCCAGGAAGGATGAAGATCAGAGTGGGGGCAGTGGTTGCGCCTGGACAAGAAGATCAGACAAAACTCATCATTTTACCGTAAAACATCATTTATCAGATGAAAATGGTGACATTTCCTGAAAACGCTCCGACCATTCTGTTCTCAGCTGTTCAGCATCACTCTGTTTGGGTTTTAATTCTCTACAAATCAGGAACAAAGCTCCGACAGTGAAACACTGCACAAGAATCGTAGCAGGTAGCTGGGAGAGCGTCGTTAGCACAGTGAGAAGAAGACTTCTGGAGGACGGGCTGGGGTCCAGAAGAGCAGCAAAGAAGCAACTTTTGTCCAAGGTAAACCAGCATTGACAGAAGTTCTGCTGAAGGTCCAGAGACCAGACCGAAAGACGTGGTCTCGGATTGTTCGGAGGATCTGGAGAAGGACAGGTGAGCCCTTCCATCAGTCTTGTGTGTGTGTGTGTGTGTGTGTGTGTGTGTGTGGTTGCTTCTCAGCCAAGGGAGTCGACAGACTCATGGTTCAGCCTTAGAGCAGCCATGAAAAGAGAATGGTACCTAAACATCCTCCCAGAGGAACTCCTCCAACCATATAACAACAGTTTGGTGATGGACAACGTTATCTCCAGCATGATGGGCTCTGGGCTCCAGGATAGACTAAGTGGATCAGGAACAGAACATCAAAATGTTTGGTCCAGGTCCAGGAAGCTCCCACACCTTAATCCCACTGAGAACTTGTGGTCCATCCTCCAGAGGCAGGAGGACAAACACAACCCCAACATTGACATGAGCATGAGTCAGGATCTGGACCAGAAGATGACTAACAGCAAGTCACGGTGAACTACTGAGGTCCAAGTTGACTCCTTGCATCAACTTCATGCAGTTATCCCAAAATACCCTTTGAAACATATCAGATGCTTGTCGTCCTACTTTAGTAACCATAGCAACATCAGACACCAACGTCTGAGAAGTTTGAAGCAGCAAACTTTCTGGTGATTCCGATGGGCATCTTACCTGAAATTCCAAAAATGTCTCTAATGTTGGGAACGAAGATGACCATCAGGTTGACGGCAAACAGCAGGCACACGGCGATGGCGATGTGACGTAACCAGTGGAAGGATTTCCCCGGAAACAGCAGCTGCATGAGGGCTCGACGAATCTGGCAGAGACAGTCAGAGTTAGGACGCTTCGCAGGCGCGAGAGTTCACCACGACCTGTTAGCACGAGTCCAGAGCAGACAGACAGGTCAGTGGCTCGTCCCTGCTGCAGCTGCGCGTTCTTACAGGAAACAGGACGACGGGTACGGTCAGCGTGACGGCCACCAGGACAGCCAGCCTCACGCACAGGATCAGCGTGTCCAGAGGATCCACCTTGCTGTAGGTGTGGAGGAGCTCGGCCTCCGTGTTTTCTGGAAATATAAACGTTCCCAACATTTCCATTAGTTCCTGAAAGCTTTAATCGAACTCTCAGACACAGTTGTTAGGAAAACACTGAGTTTCAGCTGGAATCAGTTTGAAATCGGCCAAATTGGTATTCAACTCCTTCCCGACATATTTGTTTTTCTTTTTGACTCATGAAAACTAAACTTGGAAGAGTTTGAGATGCTTGTGTCGGTACAAGATCTGCTTGGGTGCAAGAACGGCTCGGGGTCCTTCGACTGCCGATGACGTCAAAGAAGTTGATTGGCTGAACATGAACCTTACGGAAGTTGCGTAATCACGTTACGTTGGTCCAGGCAAATCTTTCTGTTGGAAAGACGGACAACTTTTACAAAGAATTCCATCATTACCTCTTTGAAAATACACTTTTAGCATAGAGCTGCATGTATAGTAGGGCAGAATGATTAACTGCATGTGCAATTAAATTGCGATGTGACAAAAGGAGATTTTCTAATCGCAAAGGCTGCAATTTGGCAGCGAGTGGTTAGCGCAATGCTAATATACATCGAAAAACCCATAGGAGTGCTAATGCTAATATCGCCGATTACATTCTTACAAATTATGAATTAGAAACGTGCCAAATGATTACATTTGGAGTCTAATAGAAAGTAAAACTACCATCAATCAAATAAGTACAGACAGGTATTTTAGTAAAGCCAGAAAACTTTTAACTCCAGAGTTTTGGCTAGCAGCTATGAGCGTAACTGAACTACGCATGGACAAGACGTCAAAAACTCTAAACACAAAATACTTCAATAAACGGGACACACTTCTTTCCTGCAAATACAATTTCACAGGTGTTGCTAATACCTATGATCCTTCAAGGGATGTGCTCAAAGAGGAGTTCAACATTATGAATAAAATATAGTGTTTTATTTTACAAATACCATTATAAACACAAACTTACGTCGTTAGAAACATTATTTTAATAACAAAACTGCTAAATTCTTTCCAACAGTATAGATGTGTTGTGTATTTTGTCCGAGTGGGTTTGCCGTACTTTGACGTCATCGGCAGTCGAAGGACCCCGAGCCGATCTTGCGCCCGAGCAGATCCTGTACCGACACCTGCAACAACTTGAAGACATTTTAGAAACCAGCTTCTTTGTGAGACCTTCCCTGAGCCTCTGAACCCGGATGGTTCTGACCTCCGTCTGCTGCAGGTGACCGATCAGAACTGATATGCAGGCGACTCGTTGACATGTTGGACTCACCGAAGAAGGTCAGGTAGCCAAATACAGCGGTGAAGAAGTACATGATGAACATGCCCAAAATGGAAACGTTTCCAATGTTCTGCATTCTCCTCTTGGTCGGGCTTTAGAGGAACAGGACAGGGACAGGTAAACCTCAGCGCCGCCACGGATACAAAACATTACCCAACAGCAGCTGGGGCTTTATAGAAAAAACTACAAATATGGTGGATATGGAGCACCGATTGTAAATAAAGAGCTGAATTTTACTGATTTATTTCTGATTTGCACAATTTGGCTCCTCATAGAAACAGTGAGAGGTTTTTATTCTAATAATTTACAGAATTACAATATTAGATGTGAATGTTGAGCAAAAATGAAAGGAATAAAAAAATCTCATCAAACCTAAATGAGAAAGTCTTAAAAATGTAGTAGATTTACAGAGTTTAGGTAAAAAATATACATTTAAGTCTAAATATTCAGATTTTTTAAAAATCTAATTAAAATATTTAGAATGAAAATTAAATAAGTAGTTTTAAAAAAATAAAACCTAAATATTTAGCTAATTCAGAAGGTGCAAAGCAGACGTAGTTTACCAAAATAAAAGCACATGGTTGTTAGAGTTGGTTTAAGATGATTTATCCTGATTTCTGTCCTAAAGCTGAAGGACTCGTGTTTAACCGACTCTGAGACCTCACACAGGGGCTCTTGCGCTGCTTTTATTTGTTGTTCAGAAACTTGAAATGGTAAATCTTACTTTCTCAGTTCTGTGTAGATGGGAAGCACTTCAGGGTGACACACAAAAGCAAACGCCAGGATGGGGATGGTGTACGCCGTCTGTAAATCAAGCCGCAGATTAATTTTACTTTTCGTGGAAACGCATGCCGCCACATGAGCTGTAACGTGATGCTCCTGCAATTCGCTTCGGGCTCCACGTGTGCTGAGAGCTGCACGTTCAGTCGGGGCGCTTTTTCATTCCAGCCAGGTTTCCGTCTTACCTCCTGGTTGATGGTGAAGTATTTGGTGGAGCAGGAGTCCTCTGAGACGACCGACGTCACAGAGTGGTTTCCAAACACCTCCAGAGGACAGGCGATGTTAAACTTCTTATAGATGACCTGAAATGACACAGAAAGGTGGACCAGATGGTGAAAATGCTTCAAGGATACACGACAACAGAATCCTTGAAGGGTTTAGGAAGCCGAGAAACAAAATGAAATAAAGAAATCATCCAGCTGTCAACGTCTTTATTTCCTGGAGTCTTTCTGTTTCATGAGTTCAAACAGAAAAATGCAGAGTTACAAGTTTTAAACTGCTGGAGTTCATTCGGTTAAGGTGTTGACAAGTCGAGGCTCGCTGGCTTGGTTCTGCTCGACCCACAGAACCCTTAAAGGGCGTTTTAACAGACTCACCGCAGACAGAAAGAAGACCATGCAGGAGAGCGAAAAGCCACTCGTGTAACCCAGATATCCTGCAGAAAAAACAATCTTCATTTAAAACTCTAAAATATGTCTAAACAACAAAAACAGTCAAATAAACCAAATTTGAGTTCTGTCTGATGTTAATTATTTTAACCCTTAACTACAAATGGAAGTTAAAACATGAGGAAAATAAACTAAATGAATGTATTTCGTGCATTCCAGTGTTCACCATGGCACCAGTTTACCACCAGTTAACGTTTCTACCCCTCTCGTCTTTAACTGGCCACCCGAGTGCCCAACAACAACAAACCAAAAGAAAGCGTCCTGTGGGCTGGAGACCATTACACATGTAAGCTACGTTAGACCATGCTTAGCTCACAATAATTTCATTCAAATTTTTAGAAGCAAATTAGAAAAATTACAATAAATCAATTTGTAAAAGGTAAAATTTGAACCCATCCATTTTCTGCCACTTGTCCGGGGTCGGGTCACGGGGGCAGCAGCCTAAGTCGAGAGGCCCAGACTTCCCTTTTCCAATCCCAAGGCGTTCCCTGGCCAGCCGAGAGACATAGTCCCTCCAGCGTGTCCTGGGTCTTCCTTTTAGGTCTCGTCCCGGTTGGACGTGCCCCAAAAACCTCACCAGGGAGGCGTCCAGGAGGCATCCTAACCAGATGCCCGAGCCACCTCAACTGGCTCCTCTCGATGTGGAGGAGCAGCGGGTCTACTGTGAGCCCCTCCCAGATGACCGAGCTTCTCACCCTATCTCTGAGGGAGAGCCCAGCCAGGTGAACTATGGAAGTACTGGTGAGGTTCAGGGGAGACATACCCAGATGTTTCATCATGGCCAGCGGGAGGACGAT